CTCATGCATCTGGGGTGTGACACACGCTTTCACTCTCAATCTCACGCTGCCCAAACTATTCTCACACCAAAAACAAGATGAACCGGCGATCGTTTTTGGTTGGTTATTTACAATGTTGAGTTGACAGCTGCTCAAGCTGTCGATCCGCCCCCACCACTCTTAACAACGTTAACGGACAGCAGAGCAGTGCGAGCCGGTTGGTCAATCCCCGACCCGTATTGCGCATGCGCAGATGATCTGAGATCCAGTAGAAATGATTAAAAAGTAAAAGTCTAGGCCAAAATAGAGTCAGTGTGTATGAGAGTGAGAGTGTGTTAATTAATATATTTGGCAGTTTGGAGTAAGTCTGTAGATTTGTTTGTGTGTGTGTGTTTCATGTATAGGCCTCTCACGATAATTCATTTTGTTGGATACATTTTCCCGGAAATTATTGCGATAAACGATAATATTGTCGGCAATGACATAATGATAATATATAATAATAATAATTCAAGTACACCCTTTCAAACTGCTAGTCACATCCTCATGTAAATGGCAATTTATCGAGGTCAGAAAAGTTATCGAGTTCATTTTTATTTATCGTACGATAAGTCAATTAATAGCTTATCGCGACAGGCACACAATAAAACAGTGGAAACAAACATGTGTTTGACTTTCATTAGTGAATGAAACTTTGTGCCCTTTATAGTCTGAGTCCAATATTGTGTATTTGTATATATTGTATATCCTATATATATGCTAAGGTCCCGCTGCTGACACAATAGCAGTCATTTAGTGCGCCTATGTATAATCAAACCCATGATATCAAAATCTCACTCCCGCCAGGTACCCAAAGTTGGCAACCCTGTAATAATAAGTCATTACTTTTACTTTAAGTATATTTTGATTAAATAAGATTTTGAATGCAAGACTTTAACTTTAATAATTTAGTAATGCTCCTTTTACTTAACTTAAATATCTGAGTACTTAATCCACCACTGACTGTGTTGGCCCTTTGTGTGCAGTGCGTGATCAGAGTGAACTTTCTCGACTGATCTAAATTCAAACCAAAGTTTTTCATCGGTGTAGATCCTGAGCTGCCCCAGCTGCTTCTTCTCAGCTGACGAGATACTTCACAAAGTGCATTTTTCTGTGTTTTTTATCTCATGGATCAATAGATTAGAATTCCCCAAGGAGCACAGAGCAGTGTGCGCTGGATATCCACTTGATCGGGGCTTTTTGTATTCAACAAGCTCATTTAACTAGTGTAAAGAAATGTGCGGCCTTGTTTGTTTTGGGCTAGGATTGAAATTCCACTTCCTTTGGTATTAAGGCAGCAAAGCTCTCTGTTTGCTCTCTGTGTACTTTGTTCTTAACTCAGCAAAACGTGAGGGCAGGTCCAAGAGAATCAGGGGGGATCAGACAGGCCTGACATTCACCAGACTGCGCTGTTGCCTTTTAAGCTTAGAAAAAAAAAGGCATGGGAGGAAAGCAGCCAGAGTAAGTAAGGGCGAGTAAGTAAGGGCTGGCTGAATTGAAGTTGGTTTTAATTGGTGGGTTTTGTGTCTGTTTGCGTGTCAGAAAGTGCTGTTGTTTACAGTCTGTGTGGGTGTTACAATATAATGCCAAGATCCTGCCAATCACATCAAAAAGACCAAGAAAAAACCCCCCACAATGCTTGTTTTTACGAGACGTGGCAATGTTTTTCATTTAATCTGTCCTTTTTATTAAAAGCCCAGAAGAAAAGAAAATAGTGTGCTGTCAGCCCTTTTTTCTCAGCAGATCGGATCGTACAGTAAGCAGCTGCGTTTGTTAAGAAGTGACTCACGCTTTTGATTTTCCTGTGCACAGACAGTGACTTGGAAAATATCCTGTACACACCCTAAAAACAAACACCAATGACCCTGTATATACAGTAGATATCAGTGACTTTACACGGCTAAAACTCTCCTACGCCCTCGTCTTAGTTACACAATGCTTAGCGCTGTTAACCAGTGTCTCTACATCTTTGCTTCATTCAAACGCAGCACTGGGCCGTGGCGTGATAAATAGACCCTGTCAATTTATTCTAGGTGCTGATACTAAGTGATCGAAACATCCCGTATGGGGCTGTAAAGAACCGAGAGACAACTCTGGCAGCCTCCTATTGACAACCATCGAGTTGAGCATTAATTAATATGGTAATGATGTGTGAAGGTTCATTAACGAGCCGCCACAGAAGTAGCCACAGATACAGTATTAGGCGTGCTCGGAGTAATTAATGGAATAACTTTACTCAGTGGTAAATATTCATGGGCCCTCATCTTTTTGTCTGCAGCGTGTGAAGAGAGAGTGCAGCCTGTCCATTAGAGGAGCTGAAGAGCCGTCAATGCGGGGTCTTTTGTTGGGATCGGGTGCGTTTCAGTGGAGGGGTATTAATTCATATTTTTTTTGAACATGCAATCTTACAACAAAGCCAAAGGCACTGATAACGTACCTGGGACTAGAGAGCATATTGTGGAGCCGTGACCCCCTCACTAATAGGGAAGTCCACTTCACAGGTTTGTGGACAGAATAAAATGAGTCTTTGTTCGCGCTCAGATGTAACCGCAGCGGTTCATTACCATAGCAGAAAACCCTTCTGATTTCCATTTCCCTCTGAAAACAGGGTGTTTGCATGTTTTTGCCCCTTCACAATTACAATGAGGCCTGTGGTATTTGCATAGAGAATGGAAACATGTATTTGGATCCTCTCAAAAAGTGATTCCACAACAGGGGTCCTTGTACATCAGGGTCTACTAATAATAATACAACAACAACACAAATATTGAAATTAAGTCTAACACCTGTAAACTACAATTTGCAATTATCAGAATAACCTGAAACCCCTCCATTGGATTATTTTTGTATACTTCCGTAACGTAATTACATCACTATAACACTTCCACTTATTTTGGCTAGCGCTCCAACACATTGTACGTGATAAGGGGCGGGACATCTCTAAACGGTTGACCAATCACAACAGAACTGGCCAGCTAACCAATCAGAGCAGACTGGGCTCTGGTTTCAGACGAAGGGTGAAAAGAGGTGCTGCAGCACAGGCAGTATGAGAAAAATGAAGAGCTTTTTGAACATTAAAGCATGGAGACATGTCCCAGGAGAGACACTAAATACAGATATGAACCTGAAAATTAGCATAGTATTTTCTCTTTCAATAATAAGCTTAGAGTAAAAGATGGTTCAAATGATAAGCATATAATGTACCGTTGATCCTGCTAACTAAAAGTAAGCTTGACCCTAACTAATAATATAATTTAGCTGCTTACAAAACTAACCTAAACACATACAGTTGTATACTAATAGGGTAATACATCTGTAACATACATTTTGAATCTGAGGGTGAGTACGTGAGTTCATCTGTCAGGGTTGTTGGGGTCCTTACACCAAAAAGGATTGAACCTCTAAAGGAGTCTTGTAACTACTAAAAGATTTGCCAAAAGTCTTTGTTCCTTCTTTGTTTGACACAGAACTCCGGCACCCTCCTCCCGAGACTTTACAAGAGAACCTTGCAAAATGCGCCTCAGTTTCCTTTCGTCTTTTAAAATGGTTGCATTTTGATTCATATTCTCAGCTTAAGCCTCTTACTGAGCATGCACATAACCCACCTAGGTGGGTAATTATCTCAACCATGAGTTGTTCTATTCCCTACAATCTCAATGTGGGAGTGTGTGATGGGCTCGGTTTTCCCGACCGGGCGAAGCAGCGTGTGCTTGTTTATCCTCACCCTACGCTCTCCGCACCCCCACTGCTCTAAATGGCAATATTACAGCTTTGTGCTGTTTGAAATGGAGACAATTATCTGTTTAGGCATTACAAGATAGGCATTATGTTACATGGAGAAAAGGCGTACAGCTGCTATCAGGATCCCGTTGTTGCCTTTTTCTCTCCAATACAAATGTTCCGTCATTAAAATGATGGAACGTTTATCTAAATGGATGTTATGCGTTGGATAAACTCATTTAGCTCCTGGGGCTCTTTCAGGTGATGGGAATTAATGATGTTTAGGAGTTTGAAACTGAAAATATCTGTCATTTGTCACCACTCGCCATTGATTTACGATTCCATTGATGGTATGTTAATTGAAGTGTAATGAATCACAATAATAGGGTAGTTGTGTTGGAATGGTCCGTTTTGGAAGATTGTTCAACCCTCAGTAGAGTTCAGAGCGAGCTGCATGTTGACTCACTTTTTCAACAAGGGCATTTAACACATCATTAATGCTGGAACTGGGCAAGTCGGACCAGTGGTGTTTTTTTAATCTTTGCTCCGTCTGCTTTAGATAAACACTCGCTCAAACGCCTGGCCACAGTTTTGACTGCCAAATGTAAAACGGTAAAAAAGAACAGAGGCAGGGGGGGAGATGGGAGCTTCTTCTTTTTTTATTTCTTTCATATTTGGATATGCTTTAATGCTTTTATTCAAATGCACCTGAGATATTGCCCCACAGTCACTTCTTAGTTTACCATAAAAATAAGATTTAGTTTCCTTCTCTTTTCGTCTTTCCTTGGGTGAGTGCTCAGTTAGGAAAGCTGTGTGCATGCAGATGAGGGGGGGGGGGCGGGGGGAGTTGAGGCAGGTACAGGTGCATCATAAAGGGAGAGCAAGAAGAGCTTCTACTGTTGCTTTATGATACGTTTTTGTCTTGCAAATAAACCACTATCAGACAGCCCTATTGTTCCCTTGTTATCATCAGTGGGTGTAGTTGTAGTTAACAGATGGACATGCAAGGATGTGTGTGACAATAGTCAGCTACGGGACGGTAAACCTGAGGCTCGGAGCGGAAATACAGCAGAGGAATTGATTGTTTTCTCAAGATTTCGCAGATGAAAATAGTTTTTGATCAATTTCTAATCAACAGCAACTGGTGGGTGACTTGTAGCAGCATTTAGCTCACACCCATGTTCTCCGTGTTGCAACAAATCCTCTTGCAGGCACTTTAATTAAATCATGTTTACCAATAATTCTCCGTCTTGTGTCCGCAGGGCGAGGAGGCTGTCCTATCACCGGCGCTGGAACTGAAGATTGCTTTAAATAAGCAAGTCCTCGCAGAAGGTAAACACAACTATCCTTCACCGGACTCTGTGTGAATGCTGCATTGAATGGGCTTTAATCATTAACTGAATGCAGCCGGGTTGTCTTGTTTGTGTATTTTGCAGTGTGGGGGCAAAAGGGAGGGTTGGATCGACAGGTGCTCTCTGTCAGTGGTTTGAAAGAGCTACTCATGGTTAGTTTGAAAGAGACGGTTCCCCCTAAGGGTCAAAATTAAAGTTGGTTGTTTGAGAAATAGTTGTATATGTTGTTGAATAAATGAGGACATAAGGAAGAAAGGTTGCTCAACTCTGAGTGTTTTTACATGTTGACATTTGTTTGGAAAATGTTATGTGGTAATGCCACAAAAACAAAATTGTGTGTCGGGTGGGGGGCGGGGGGTTAACACACACTCAGTTGCTATTGTTGGCATGTCAGCCATTCTGCTGGATATCTCATATTCTTCGTGTGTGTGTGTGTGTGTGTGTGTGTGTGTGTGTGTGTGTGTGTGTGTGTGTGTGTGTGTGTGTGTGTGTGTGTGTGTGTTGTGTGTGTGTGTGTGTGTGGTGTGTGTGTGTGTGTGTGTGTGTGTGTGTGTGTGTGTGTGTGTGTGTGTGTGTGTGTGATGTGTGTGTGTGTGTGTGTGTGTGTGTGTGTGTGTGTGTGTGTGTGTGGTGTGTGTGTGTGTGTGTGTGTGTGTGTGTGTGTGTGTGTGTGTGTGTGTGTGTGTGTGTGTGTGTGTGTGTGTGTGTGTGTGTGTGTGTGTGTGTGTGTGTGTGTGTGTGTGTGTGTGTGTGTGTGTGTGTGTGTGTGTGTGTGTGTGTGTGTGTGTGTGTCCTACAGCTTCATCCTCACTTTCGTGTCTCTTCTCTTCCACTTGATCAGCGCGTTGTGACTTGTAGGTAGATAGGTGGGTCCTGTAATGTGCAAAAATGACTGTATGTTTAGTTAGAGGCTTTAAAAGAGTAGCACTGACTGTTGTTTTAAGCAACAACATACGTGAGATGAACCTTTGAGTTAATTATATGACTAATAACATACACAGCAACATGCTCTGCCCAGGGAGGGATATCCAAACATTACATGAGGAAGGGCATTGCTTTTCTTCTTGTGTTTGCAAACAATGATTTCCATATCATTATTATCATTAAATAAGGTCAATAGCTGTTTGTGTTTGAATGCAAAGTTTAAACTTAAATTAATTGGAACAAAAACATGCAGAAATGTTACAGCTAAAAAAAACAATATATATATTATAATAAAATAAATCATAAACATTTATTTCAAAATAAATCAATCTTACAAATCTCAATTTAAAGAGGACGTATTGTGCTTATTTTCAGGTTCATATTTTGTGTCTCTTCTTCCTCATACTGTCTGTGCTGCAGCACCTCTTTTCACCCTCTGTCTGAAACCAGAGCCCAGTCTGCTCTCCAGTCTGTTAGCTGGCCGGCTCTGTTGTGATTGGTCTACCACTTAGAGATGTCCCGCCCCTTAGCCTACTACTTACAATGTGTTGGAGCGATAGCAAAAGAAGTGCAAGTGTTACATAGTGATGTCATTATGAGTCCAATGCGGATGTTTCAGACGGGGGGGGGGGGAGTGTGTGGGAGGGAACTTGGGTCCTTTGCAGACCATTTACATTTACAACAACCTATACTACAGAAAAGATAAAACCCCCGAAAAGGTTAAAAGGGATTCTTTAAACTAAATGCTACATCGATGCGTTGATGGAACTGACCTGCCACTTTATATCTCTGATAGAGTGCCTCTTAAATCTTAAATACCAACATCTGCAGTTTCTTTAGAGACATGACAGCAACTGTCATCGTTACAGTTAACAAATAGGACTATTTTCCCCTTCATAGTCAGAGGAGGCCCTCATCCCCGCAATATGTGAAACAGCCTCCCTCTTTATTTGATTCAGACAATTACCCCCACATTTGGAGAACAGACTTGGAGCACATTGAAGTGCAGGATTCCTGTAGCTGTTGTTTATCTGGAGTGCATTCTCCACATAGTCCACAGTCCTCGGCTCCAGATGTAAGATCAGCCCTGACATCCTCCTGAACGGTCGTGTAATTAACGTTAATGTGGCAGAATCAGCCTGCTGATTGACACGACTTTCCAATGTGAGTTTGATTGCATCGCTAATGCAGAAATCCCTGCAGCAGCTTATGGGATTACCATGTCTTGGTGTTTAAAGCTCTTTTACGGCGCAGTAGCCTCTAATGCAGTGTATGTGTTTATGAGTGGAAGCATACTGTTCATTTGTGTCTCTTTAGGATATGCATCTTGAATTGACATGTAAGAGCAGTGTGACAAATGTTCTGATTCAGAGTCCCTCTCATCATCATAGTACTTTATCCTGAGGAAAATATGGGTGTTGTGCAAATTGCTCCTTTCAAAAAAATGTATATAGAATACAAATATTTAATTTAGTTAAATAAATATATTTATTCAAACATAATACAGGGGGTCCGCGGGGTCGTAAAAAGTATTAAAAGTTGATAAATCAATTTAGCGAAAATTAAGGCTATTAAAAATTATTAAACGGCATTTTCCAAGGTATCACATTTTGTAGCTTGTTTCCAATAAGTATATAAATGGTCCAAAGAGGTTGTATTCCACAGTGCACCTGAATGTAATCATTGCGTAGGTGTGTAGTGTGATTCTGTGTAGTTTATTTATGGCATCCCGTTGGATTTGACGTCATCTGAACAGGACATCGCACGCTCACTGCTTGATAGCGTGCGAAGGTCCGTTTACGCCGGTTGTTAAACAACATCGTTATGGGGAAATGCAAGTCTGCGTCCAAATGGTTGGAAGATGAGGAGGAAGGACAATCAATACTGTATATAGTCAATGTGAGGTAAAGTGTGTCGCCAAGGTAACCGGTTAAAACTCCAAGTGGCGATGAGGTCTTAAAATGTACGGAAAGGGTCTTAAAAAAGGTCTTAAAAGGAATTACATTTGACTTCAGGATTCCTGCATATACCCTGTAATATCTTAAAGTAAAATGTTCAAAACATACAATACAAAAATATATATTTCTATAAACATGAGAAGTTAATGTAAGAATGTGCAAAATAAAGTTATTGTGCTATATAACATGTATAGAACATATAGACAGTGGTTTATTAGTCTTAACAAGATCAGTATTGCTGACTTGCACAGTTTAAAAGGGTTCGCTGCTGATGGTGATCAGAATCAGAAATACTTGATTATTCCCACAACGGGGAAAATAAACGTCATATTGAAAATACTGTATGTGTGTGTAGGGCTTCCTCTAATGCAGTGGTTCTCAAATGGGGGTACGCGGACCCCTATGGGTACGTTGGAGTACTGCAGGGGGTACGTGAGATTTATTTTATGTTAATGAGAAAGAAAAAAACACAAGTAATGCATTTAAACAAGCTACTAATAGTAGATTAACTACTTTATTCAAAGTTTACAGTAATTCTGGATAATAAAATGGGAAAAATAAACGGGGTGCTCTCTTTTCCTCTCCCTCTCCTGACAGCCCGTCAGTCTCGTGCAGCTCGCTGAACCTGTACTAAGTGACCCGACAGTAAAGAATAAATATATTTATAACTAGTTTAGCTTGTTCCAGAGTAGATAAACTAGCTAAGTGTGTTAGGTCTAACTCTTAGTGTATTTCATTTTGCTCCACTCAACAGTCCGTCACAGCGGCGGAGCTGTGATCATGCAGAGCTGCGTGTTCTCCGTCAGCAGCAGATCTGATCTCTGATCTCTCTCGCGTCCGATTATACTTCACTCGCGTTTATGTCCAAATCTATCAGATCTAGCTAGTTCTAGTTAATTATATGACTGCCTGCTTATCAAAGGACACCTAAACAATAAGCGTTGCTTGGCAACGGCGTGTGGCCGCAAAGTATAGCGCAGCATTATGTATATGTTTTATATGAGGGGTCAAAATCCCATGCTCATAAAATGCTCATATATTTTTTATCTTCATTCCTCACGCCCCAAAATAAATAAATAAATAGATATACCAATTTTAGGAAAAGTAAGGAAGTTTGAGCAGTGTGGGTTTTATATGAACAGAGTTACACATATTTCAAAACACAAAGTGTAATAACTGCAGTTGCCTCCCTGTCAGCATGACAAAGGTCCTCAGTGGAGCTCAAGCCCATGTTTCACTACATTGTAAGTACAACTTATTAAAAAGATCAGTTCAAAGCAACTAATGTCGTCTTAGTGTTATTGCATGATGTTAAAATTGGTTTGCCATGAATTTAGTGACGGTTTGTAAACATTTAAATGTAGCATTTAAGTGTTTCTCAGTTACAAGGTTGTTGTTTTAATAAATCAGACACAGATGGTGCAGCACTGTAGGCTACTGTACCTCTTTATAAGCATTTTTCCTTAACAAATTGTGTTTGCGCTGATCAGGGGGTACGTGGCTGAATTTTTTTTTCAAAGTGGGAACATTATTGAAATAAGTTTGAGAACCACTGCTCTAATGTGTGTGTGTTTTGTGTTGTTGTCCTGCTTTCTTCGGCCAGTTTACAACCGCCTTCCCAGAAAAGCGCCTCTGCTTAGAAGAATCCTCAGATATCCCAAAACATGAGTCTATTTTCTGAGGCCTTCAAAAATGTTATCATCTTCATTTGAATTTCATGACTCCATGTAAGGAAGAGAAACACACTCTTGTAATTCGTCCTTTGCTGTAAATGCTTTGGTTTATATTGCTTTATTTAATCCACTTTTTTTTATGGAAGTGTTGAGAATAAACAAGTGGATTCACGAGTTGGCCCCGCTGAAAGGTCGTGTGCAGATTTATGCCGGGATGAAAATAGGGCCTCGGTAATCGCTCCCTTGACTGCGTTTATTGCTTACTTTAAAAAAGTAATTTCTTTATATCAGCATCAAGCTGAAAATGGCCATGTATTAGTATTAGGCTTGGTAAGCTTCTAATTCTGTGGCATTTACAGCTGGCTGTGTTTCCATGCATTTATAACACTTTGATTCTTAAGAGCTCCCTTTAATCGCTTACGCCT